GCTGGTTGGTATGCTATGATAAGAAGAAGACTATCGGGTTGTTCACTTGGAAGTGAACTCGTTACTTGTATCAAAGATGTCAAACTAATATGATAAGATTGATAACTAAGTTGAGCACGAAGCTCCTATCTGAATGGCAGACGTGCCAGTCTTATATAGAACCTTCGTTCTCAGAATACTACTACTAAGGAATGTTGGTCGACAACCAACTCTGTCGAGCAGTCGACTATCACGTGACCAACATGTTGGTAAAGGTATACATCCATATACATTATCCAACCAATTAACGGCTCCTGCTTACATAAGAAAACTCCCTTTGGTTTCCCAGAACACATAAAGCTCCCAGGCCCATATGTGCTCGGCTTGTCGTGACGCCGTCTGGTCTTCACTTGTCACGTGTGCACGTGATTCGTGACAAATTATTAGGTTTATTACTAGGAGGGGATAGTAGTAGTAGTATTAGTATAGGTAACCTAGTCGAAATAGCTTTATATACTATAGTACTATAAGCTCTCCTAGGCTTAATATACTAATAAGTAGTAGTAGCTCTTAAAGATTTACTACTTAGAATAAATAGTAGAAGTAGAGAATAAGGTAGAAAGGACTTATCTAATATAGTTTTAACTACTATTAAGCTATATATATAAGCTATATATAGATTAATTTTATAAGAGGTTAGAATATTTATAGAATCCTTAGCTCTTTATATAGGTGTCTATATAGATCCGCTACTTTAAAGAAGTAGTTTAAACTATAGATTTAATATAGGAGGCCTAGTCATAAAAGCTCAGAATTTAAATATTTTATAAGCTTTTTATAAAATACTTTTTAATTCTTTAAACTTATAATAAAGACGTAGAATAACGTAGTCCACAAGCGAGTTGGATTCCCAAGCGAAATGGATTTTTTTTTCTTGGCATTTTATAAATTCTTAAATATCTCACGACACAATTAATTAAATTAATTACAGTATTCAGAATCGGAATCCTCACATATTTCTTCACCTTTTTGACAAGTTCGTATGTTATGGCCATGTTTCCCACATAGTCCACAGCGCCGGCGAGGTACTAGACTCGGGCTCGTACAATTACTATTTTCTACTAAAACCACTTGTTCTTGCGAATCAACATTACTAAGGACCCCTAAATCTTGCGCATCTTGGAGAGTAAGTGATCCTCCTTCCTGTAATCGGCGCTTTTTCGTACGACGACGCCGACTAAGTTGATCATTTGCTGTACGAAGTGTAGCATTCTCAGCTCGTAATAAAGCTACCTCAGTGATTGCACGCTGTGCACCCTTTGCAAGCTGGTCTAGGCCATATAGAATCTGGGTCGGAGAACTATCTTGGTGTCGTACGACCTTGTTTTGTATATATGACGTCTGGGAATATGCCTCTGTTATGTTATTTGGGGTCTTTGGTTCCCAAATAGCTAGGAGGCTTGTTGAGGTAGATGGACGTGACGGAGTCCTTGGACGTATATCAAGCTGTGAAATCACAGAATCTGGGTCGTACGGCACTAAGCCAGATCCTCGAAATCCTCCTCGAATGTTTGATTCAGTCATTGTCGTACGAAAGGCAGTATAGAATGTTGATAAGAAATCCTCCTTAGAAACATATGTAATGTGGAGTCGCATTAATTTCTCAAGTTCAGCACCGTACGACCTTTTTAACGCTCGAAAACATCCTACATCGAGTGGCTGGAGTCTATGAGAGGAATGAGCTGGCATGCAAAGAGTAATAATGTTATTACTCTTACAAAAAAGCTCAAAATCGACTGAGTGGTGGCTTTCATGGCCATCAAGCACAAGCAGCCGGTGAATGCCCTTCGTACGAAGCTTTGTATGCCGATCGAAATGAAAAATCCAATCTAGGGCTCGCTCATTTGTTGTCCAGCCATTTGTAGTTACAGCAATTACCCAGTCGCGTGGTAATTGGCTGTTTTCGTACCAGGAGGAGAGGTGGTTCTTCCCCGCCAAAATGATATATGGAGGCACTACAAAGCCGTACGACCCAACACCTTGAATTACTGTTGCCCATTCCCGGTTTCCTTGCTGTACTGTACGAGGCCGAGAAAGCCTTTCGGTACTTGTAACAACCATTTCTGATGTAATTTGGCCCATACAAAACCCAGTCTCGTCAAAGTTATAAATATCCTCCTCCTGAATCCCATATTTGTCAATTATATTTCGTACGAGGCGAAACCACGCGTTATACGCGTCTGGATTTTCGCATTGGACTCTTTGATAATCAATCCTTCGATTAAAACGCGTCTTAAGTTCAGGTTGTCGTCGTACGAAGTTCGAAGTCCAGTTCTTGCCAACGCGTCCTGCACCCCGCTCCGAGAGGATACGATTCGCCATATCTTCAACACAACGTACTCGTGGGGGAAATGATCGAGAATCTAGGTCGAGAATATGTCGTACGATAACTGTTTCTTCAATCTATGTAAGTTTTCGAGATTTAGCGATAGAATCTTGTCGTGATAATATTCCATGAGTTCGATTAAGCAATGTCGTATAAGGTACTTTATAGATCCGCGCAACCTTCTTAACTTTTAAATGTGGGTTCGTACGAAGCGTATTTAACGCAAGAATCATATCAGACTCTGTCCAATGCTTAACCATTTTGTTTGTTAAGAAAAAACGCGCTCTGAATAAGTTTGTGGAGTGCCAAGAAAAAAATCCATTTCGCTTGGGAATCCAACTCGCTTGTGAACTACGTTATATATTAGTATATAAGTTTATATTATTATAAAGTATATATACAAAGATCGAGTATATAAAGTATTAGGAAAAGAAGATTAGAGGTAAGTTAATATTTACTAAGGCTAGTAAGTAGAGTCTTTGTTTATAAGAGCTATAGAGATCCTAGGTAAGTAGGATAAATCCCTCTTATATATTAGCTTTTTATAGGATCTTCTTATACTTCTTATAAAGTTAAGGCTATTAAGTAGGGTCTAGCTCTACTCTAAGGTCCTTACTATAAATATATTTTTTATTTATAAAAAAGTTAAAGAAAAGGTTATTCGAAAGTAGTAGATTTAGAATACTATCTAGTAGTTAAGGAAATAAGGGGATAAAGAAGAGGATAAAAAAATAATTTAGTAAAAGAAAGAGAAAGAAATAAGGTAATTAAATAGAGACCTACCTATTATTATTATTACTATAGTAGTAGTAGTAGTATTAAAAAAGTAGTAGTTAATACACTTGTAAATAGAACTAGCTATTCTACATTAGGTAGAGTAGTAGTATTTACGACTTTTATAAAATAAATATTCTTTCGTTTTTTATAAAGAAATTATAAATAGTAAGATCCTACTAAAATATATACCTAAATAACCTATTAGTATTATAATAATAAGTCTTATAAGGCTTAATTTAGTAAAATTTGCGTAACGTTAGTAAATCTTAGTACAAATCTACGTATTTTATTCGGCCCGGTATATACTAGGTGTATACGTCCTCGGCGAACCTCCGACAACCTCTGTACTGTCTAGGGGATACTAGAAGTATAATTTGATAGATATTATCCCTTAGTCTGTAACAAGTATACTACCGGTAGGAACAGATTCTTGGCATTAACGTCAGTCTATCAGATTCGCATTTGGTCCACACACCTGATTTACTCAGTGTTACAAAAAAACCTTGGAAACCAGCTAAAACGTGTGTAATCGATAATATAATATATAGAGTGTTGTCGCCTAGGCTAAAAGCACGTACTCGTTCGATGAGTATATAAGTTTTCGCGTACATTTCGTCCCCTTTTTAAAGCATAGGTATAACCATTCTTTCTACCCTTTAGAGTATAGCTTCCAGGTTCCTTCCCCTCTCCCCCTCCCATCCTCCATAGTTTATATACGATGTTTTATTCTTGCATGCTATAGTCAAAAAAGAATCACAGTGGGTGGCTTCTTGACGTAACCACTTTTGGCGAGCGGGATTGGACTTCATTCTTTGATTCTTCATTTGGCGAACACTAGGTTTCTAGGCCACCTAACATTGAACCAACCGTTTCTATGTGTGATATCCTTCTCCGAATCTTTTGTGTTCCTCCTCATAAAATTCAAACCTCATGGAAGAGTTCTTTCTTGATTTACTGTGTTCTTTCATAAATCACCTGACCTGCCTCCTTCTCCAACCCCCAAATGACTTGTGCTTTTCAGTTCTTAGGCGAGTGGATTTCCTTTCATTGACAGAGTGAAAACTTTTACTTAGAATCTATCTATTTCTTGTGTACAAGGCCCGTGTCTAGATGTCTTTTGAAACATGTTTATCAAAGAGACTCACATCATTTCATCTTTATGATTCATTGACAAATACAGTAGGCCATTCCTTTCAGTTCCACTTCTATATCTCCGCCATTCTATGCCATGATATTGAAATCAACAGGAGCCACTCTGAGACAGTCCTTCTCCCAAAACCAAAATACCAACACCCAGCTCATAATGACTTCCTGGATGCCACTCCAATACGGCCCAATGACCAACTCGCCACAATACACACCAATCTTCCACCAGGACTACACCACAATATCAGAGCCCCCCACTAATCTCACAGACACCGCTGCATCCAACCTCCCTGAGCGAGCCTACCCCCTATGTCGTCTCTGCAGAGGCAAAAAATATGGCTTCACACACTACTTCCATAACACCGAAATCTTTCCCTCGCCACCCCACCAGCTCCTCACTCACATCGAGCAATCATACATCCTCCTAAATCGGCTGCAAAGTCTCTTCACCACCTACGGAAGACACCTCACTCAATCTCAGGATGAGAAGGATGTCAAAGCTTGGGCTAGTGATGTAGAGGGTTTGGTCAACGCTGTTTTTGAGTCTGCGAGGAGCGAAGGGTTTGAATTGGTGAAGGGAAAGGCGAGGATGGAGGAAGTGCTTGAGTGGATGAGAGGAGTTGTGGAGGGGCTTTGTGGTGGGGTTATGGGAGGAGTTGAGAGGATGCGGAGTAATGTTTTGTTGTTTGAGTTTCGGAAGTTGTGGGAGAGGGTTTGGATTGGGTACTTGGAGGATTTGAAGATGGTTAGAATGGGTACTGGGTTAGAGGATACGAATGGAGGGGCTTTGACTTCGTAGGGTTGCTGAGGGGGCGATGAAGGGGGAAAGTTAGAGAAGTTGGCTTTATTTTATTCTATCTATGGCATCGGACCTAGTGACCAGCATATTTGTCCGAAGTACAAGTTGAAAGAAAGAAACCCGAGCATTATATTGACTGCAGCATCAAACAAGACCATGGCTCTTTAAATACATTGGTAGTCCATCTGGTCCAAGAACCAAGTATCGATGTTAAGCCAAGAGTGCAAGGGCGGAAGAAAATACAGAGTTTACTGAACCAAAGGTAATAATGAGCGAATCGAGAGTTCACCGGATAGGAAAGTTGCTTTATGAATCCTTAATAAAACATCAAAGAACTCAATGACTGGTGCTTCGGAAAGGTAAAAGGGCTCCTTGCGAATTTATTCCCATTCCAATTTCCGAGTCCGAAACCCTGCTTCCAGTGATGGTTCCAAAAGCCCAATTACCTTACTCATTGGACCTTGTCCTGATGATGAAGAGGGCGTAAAAAGTTTTCTTCCCAAATAGGCTTCCATGCTTCCACCAAACACGTGAACCCCATCTCCATCCCACGGAGTTCCTCCATCCATAGCTTGGAACAGGTATCGGTCCTAGGTCGTTCCACAAGTAGCCTGACAAAGGGATCAAGTTGATTCCATACTGTCAGCAACTGTTCATGTTCCCCCATATTCTCCACATGAGTAGCCCTTCGAATTGTCGCAACAAAATCCATAATTGATACCGTTCAGACATCATGAACAGACCACGAATATTGTCGAATGATCATATCTGCCTGTTTAGAGCTTATGCAGAACTCCTCAAGCATTTTGACGAACATGTATTCCAGGCTCCTACGGTATCTCTTCCGTTGGGGTTTGGTAAGTTTGAACCACCATAGGAGTGCTTTGCCACGGAAAAGTCGAGGGAACAGACTCGAAATTGGTTTCTCTGTGTATCCGCTAGTGACAATAGCTCGTAGATCATCGATGTACATATGAGCATCTGTAAATACCATATGCTTGTTCTCTCCAGTAACGCGAAACGAAACTCCATTGTCGTCCGGTTTGGAGTGTTCGACAAACTCTGGCTCCAAATCAAGAACATTAGAAGCGCGAGTATTTTCTTTTCGGATGTCGGCAATACACTTGTAACTTTCCATCGTCCAAGTTCGGACGAAGGTGCAGTCTGCTTCCGAGTTTGTTCCTTCTCTTTGCCCTTCCTCTGGCTCTGTATCTTTGAAGAAGTATCGTCTCCGTCTCCCAAATTGCCCAGGCGGAAGTCCCGAACTAGTTCTTCCCTGAATCGTCGTAAAGAGGTATCAATCATTCTCTGGAGATCCTCCATAGAGACTGTCACCATATTGGCTCTGATGGGAGTGGTGCTTGACATCTTGAGATGCGTACTCTGACGAGAATAGGAAACGAGAGATAGTCGAATGGGATATCCTGTGACGCAGTAGAGCGAGATATTTATGGGGTTGGAGCTGATGCAAACGGATGAAATGAGCAAAAAGACTACGATCCACGCCGCGAAGACGCAATTTTTCATAAAAATCTGAGGTCCTGGAGTTACTTGATAGCTGACGGTTTATCGTAGCAGTTTCTTCTTGAGAGGGCTCAAACTGGTTTTCGTGTGGAATTATATTAGTGGTTTATAAGTCTAGTCTAGCAGAGGAAGCAGTATACAGTGATAAACGAATCCAATGTCTCAAGTTAGCTGCTTACATGAGATCTAACAAAGTATTACTATTATATAGGTGTGATTAATACTTATTCATACGTCTATTCCAAATCCAGGAGTATGATAACTACACTGACTTAATTCTGGCATCAATCGTGATACCTATTTGTTTAACTATCTACTATACTAGTAATCGGAATACGATGTTCCGAACAGAAAGATTGACTGGTATTCATCTAAACAGTTCTCAAATAAATATATTGTCTAAAATAGAAAGACAAAATTCAGTGAATATGGTATTTTACTCATATAGAAACAGAAGTTAAAACCCACCAAATCAAATATCTTACGATAAATTTACAAAATCAGGTAAACTCTACTATATACCTTATACCTATCCACTCCTCGCTAATAGCTATCTTTACTTTCAAACAATTACTACCAAACCCCAAGGTACAGTATCTGACCTCCATTCTAGGTCTCATAATAAACAATAAGCCGAGCGCATCGTTAAAATAGAGACGTTTGAATTCATGTCGAGTTCAGAATTTACAATGGTAACTTCAACTATACTTTCCGGTAAGGAGTGTAGTAGAGCAATGGCGGGCGATCGTTACAAGTTCCTCCTTAAGTCCGCCTTGTAAGACTTAGTAAATGGCGGAGCGACTCCTTATTCTCAGAATGCCATTAAATGAAGGACAGAGTAATAATGTTACTCTTAAATGATTCTTCTGAGATTTTGAATAAACTTCCCCAAAGTACGTATATTACTTGTTTAAGAAACACGACATATTATTCGTGTGCAACGTAAGATTACTCTACGTAGTAGTAAATCCAATCCAATCATTAAAACCCAAGAGTTCTACTCACGAGTAAGCGAGAGACGCCACAGAACCAGTCTTCCATCCACTCTTCTAGAACGCCCATTGCATTACCTAGTGCTTACCAAACATTTCCACTCTTCAAAACCATAAGATAACTGCCGATACGTCGACATCCTAAAACACTCCAAACAACATCTCGACGATCAACATCCCGCTTTCGAATCTTCTTCAAAACACTTTTACGTAAGCCCAGGATCGGACTTACTACGAAGTAGAAGTACAACTAGTAAACCACTGTAGGTACCAACCCATAACCAGACCATCCAAATTCTTTGGATACAATGATCAAACAATGATACATACCCAGGTACAGTCCCTTTGCAAAAGTAGCAAGATGGCAGGCTACTTTTGCATCTCAAGGTATTTTGTGGAATTTGCTATTCCCATAGATTCTCGGGTCGCCAAACATCCTGCTATAGTACTTTGCAAATAGACTGTATGTAACTTACTCGAACCATCCCACCAAATAATACAACATCCTACATCTACCATCTACGTAAACTCGCACCACCCAAACAAACCATCACACATCTCCAAACTCCAACCCCCAACCAAAAAAGAAAAAAGAAACAGAAAGAACAAAACCCCCCGGAGGTCGTCAGACCCGGGTAGGTATTAAAACCTCGACACGCGAGATGCACGTTTGAAGATCATTTTTTCCTTCTTCCCTTTCTTCCTGTACTCCGTAGCTCCGTAAGGCTGTTTTACAAGTACCGAGCTCCAGCAGACGGGACGGGACCAGACAGACGCCCACGTGCTTCATATGTATAGTACGGTACGTTTGGATTCTGACAGAACATGTGCATAGAAATCTTACTCCGTCCCGTCCGTTTTACTTTACGCGATTCTTCGAATGGGAAAATACCTAGGTAAGCCCTTGGTTTGCCATGTACGAGGGGGTTATGAGTGTTTTCTTTACAAAATTACGAAGTAAAAGGGAAGTAAGGAGGAAAACTGATGTAGATATCGAAGTAGATTAGGAAGTACGGAGTTAATGGCAGTAATTTTCCAACCAATGATCTGTAGAATGGAGATGCGCGTGGAAGGTTCATCCAAGCAGATAGACTTTCTCGCTAACTTGAGGGCCCTACCACTACTGTAATGCCGCGTCTCAGACTCTCAGGTCACCTATCATGCGATTTTCACTTTGGTAACGCGGTTCCTGTTTTTGGCTTTATGACGCTGATAGAAGGGAGTATTTTGGGATGGTTGTGGTAAATACTCATTGCTCGTCTCGTTTCTGAATTTATCTCTCGTTTTCAAAAAAATACTCATGAATTGTGATGGAGAAATCTATTCCCGTTACCTTGTGTTTCGTTGGTTTTAGACTCTAAAAGAAGTTTGAAAGAGTTTATCAGAAAATTAACGAGGTACGAAGTATCAACGTTAGGGAATACGATGATGGAAAATGGTACGCGTTCACCCCACAAGGTGGACGTGACGAGTACGTATTCCCAAATGCCATGATCGCATTTCCCACATTCCCAACTCATTGGTGTGAGAGCGAGTGCGAATGCGAAACGTGGACTGATGATCGGACATAAGGCTTTCTCTTCTCTTCTCAGCGAGTGACATCGGCATTTGGGTACGCTTAACACCTGGGTATGAGTACGGTAGCGGTATGATCTCCCGTTTCCCTCCAGATCGGAATCAGGAATCAAGAATCAAGAACTTTGGCAAGTAGAGTGATGGAAGCGTCGAAGATGGGAGACGAGCGGTTGAAATACTGGTTCGACGTTCTGGGTGAAGGGGAACGGTGGTCTTGTGTTGAACCCTGATTTTACGATGGAGTATGGAACGGGTGATACGACGGCGGTTCGAAACATGTTTATATTGGCGAATGGAAACATGTTGATGAGGTGCTTTATTAAAATTGTTGCTTGGCATGATCATTTCATCAGACTTACTTTTTTCGAGAGATGGCAACTCGTTTCAAGTCCTGGATAAATGTCATGCGAAGGAACGGTATTGGCCAATCGCGTGGAGAAACGGGGGAATTTACTTGACCAATGAAAATGGCCTTTTGGGGGTTGGAAAGAAACAAAAGATGCTGTGGTTTGGCTCAACTCCTGTGGTACAGTATAAATTTACAGTATGAAGACATGCACAAGATCGGCCATTCTCTGTCACTTTTAGTTGGCGCGCAATCCGGTCCTTGCGTTGTTTTTTGGTCGAAAATGCTGATAACCAGCGCCCGAGATATCTGCGTATTTTAGCCGTCCACTTTGAGGGTCCCAATGAGCGAATTAGGAAAGGAAGTCCTCAAACGAAAGGCCTCGCAATAATAATGGAATGGAGTCGAGTTGCGTGTACTTTGTACGTAGTATTGAGAGGAGTTAAATTGCCATCGATAAGATTAACCATTGCCTAATAACCAATTGAAGAAACGGTCCAAACCGCCTTGAAGTTATAGAAAACTAGTAGGTCAAGTATAGACTCTATAGATACTCAACTAATAACCAATCAAATTTATTCATTACACGATAGTTAATCCCTTTTTAGCGCTTAGGTAATAGCTAAGCTATTTAACTATCAAAAAGCGTAAGCTCTTAAGCGAGCTTAGCTCTTAAATACTAATTAGCTACCAACCCCCTTAGCTCTTAGTAATCGCTTAATAATTAAGGGCTATTGTACCTCAGAGAAGGCTACATAGACCTGAAAGGAACATGTGCGAAAGTTATATTTATTTCGCCTGAGACGAAGTAAAACCTCACTGGTCAGTCGAGCTACAGCCTACTACTTTTCTATCATGGAACAGAAATAACCTGTCATCTTTTCTCCTATCGGAAAATATTTTATAGAGGAATCAAATATAGCCCTCATGGCACTAATGCGTCTAGACTGATCTGCCGAGTACTTCGAAGCAGAGCGGCGAGCGGCGTTGATAATGAGATCCGGGGTATCGGCTGGGGGTGGTTAGCAGGGAGTGCGGGTATTGTACTCAGGTAACATCTAGACGAGATGTCAGAAGCGAGCCTGCCTCATCTTTTGTTTGAAGAAGCTGATGAAGAGTAGAGATGGCCTGAAAACCAATGGATGCAGTTGAAGCGTTTGATACTGGCGTCTTTGTGCATTCTGTACAACTATATTTTGGGAGACGAATAGAGACCTGGGTGAGGTTGCGGGCAGGAGGGTCCATCAAATGCAACCCATCTGATTTTCAGGGGGTTGGCGGGTCCACGGAGTGGATTGACACAGTGTGACACTGGCACATTGCACCAACGACCAAAATAGGCGCTGCTTTAGCTCAGAATTGCAATTAAGTTTGGTTCCTGAAAGTGACACTGTGGCGGAAGGCATTATCCCTCATTCGCTCCGGGCTTGACGAACCCTCTTAACCGCTAGACGTTGTGGACGGGATGAAACGAGGTAAATTTACAAGTAACTGCACACACTCAACTCTCTGCACTTGCACTTGCACTCTCACTCATTTATCGCGTCTACAGCTTCACTACTCGTCCCTCTCTCCTTGCGCCTGCGTTGCTCTTCTCACTCTCAAGAGAAGTTGGTTTCTGCAGATAGATTGGCGCATAACCTGATGCACTGCGTCGGCCTTGCCCCGTCACTGGCCGTATACCCGATCGCGTCCCGAATATCTGCGACGAACTCCTGGACCATCAAACCCCCTCCGGGCTCCCCCCCTACGATCCTTCAGCCTCTCTCCCAAAATTCACCATCTCGCGGCCTCAATCCAGTCCGCCCGTGGCCCGTCGTTCTTGTCGTCGTTGCTCACTGCGCTTTTCCTATTGTGGTTGTCTTTTCGCACATCGTCTATCCACTCGCTCGCTACTTGCTTGTATTGTTCTTCTCACAGTCACAGCGCTCACCAAAAGCCACCAACACGGTGCCGATCAGCTTCACAATCAGACGAATCTCCAGCCTCACGCTCTTCTCCGCGAACCATGCAAATTCTATCCCGACCGTAATAGTGAAAAGTGGATTCTATTTCCGTCATTGTGTTCACTCCGGCGTACGAGTAACTCTTACTTGGGACTTGGTACTTGGTACTGTACTCGACACCTGCGCCTCTACCTCATCTAAAATCCTTCTGCACGCTCCTTTCGCAGTTCATCTTTCACAACCCTCTACCATTTGATTTCTTTCCACTTCTTCAGCTTCACCACTACACCAATCCACGCAGTCGATATCCCGCAGGCGGCGAAACGACTTGTGTTGGCTTCTAACATTACATTCTGTCAAGTTTCATACGATTGAGGCGTTTTTTACCTCCATACATTCTTTACGCCTGGCGCTTCCGGCAGGACCTTCAATTCATTTCAGTTCATCTACTTAATATAACAATTTCTCGTTCCCAAAACCATCATGGGTTGTTCAGGCAGAGTCAAGGAGGAGGATCTCCGCCCCGAGCAGAAATGGGATTTCATTGTGAGTGGCTGCCACCCATTGGCGATTGGGAAGGCATGGTACTAATCAATTGCGACGGTAGAGTTTGAACGATTTTAAAAATACCAGTTGCTTCGGTCCTCTCGCATACGCATATCTTTGTATCTCGCTCCTCATCTCGGTCGCAGTTTACGGCGTCGATACCTTTACCGCAGTCAACCTTCTAGCATTTGATCGATGGTCAGGACAGGTTCAACCGAAAATCGACTTTGACGTAGGAAAATGGATCTTTTCAGTGTGCATTATTCTATCATGGGTCAACGTTGGTTACGAACACATTCGGGCAGGTCGTGTTATGAAGAGAGGCGCCGTTACGGAGAGTTTCTTGGATTCCCTGGCTGTTCGTCTGCAATGTATACGATGGGGAAAGGGTCGTGGTTACAGACGTTTCTTGGTCTTTGCTGAATTGACAAAGAGTAAGAAGGGAGCCGAATATGTTGCATTGTTTACATATTTCTCTTTTCAAGGTCAGCACATACGCGATGGCTTTTTAGGTATCTACTAACCTCATGATAGCATGGATCCGAATCATCTTCTGTCAAGGACCCCGACAAGTCGTCAATGCCTTTACTCTGTACGCTGTATTCCAAGCCAACTTCGATCTCAAAAAAGATGCCGGTTCGACATTGATGACCTTCTTCAATAATCTCAAACATCTCGCGGAACAAAGCAACCAGCAAGCACTCATTCTTTCCGGCATGATCTTCACGTTGGTCATTTGGGTATTTGGTGTCCTCTCAATGATTCTCGCCGTATTTTTCTACGTATTTTTCCTTTGGCATTATATTCCAAACCGAGATGGAGGTCTATCAGGTTATTGCAAGCGTAAAGTCGACAAACGTCTAGCATCCATCGTATCTGTCAAGGTCAACAGAGCAATTGAGGAGGAAGAACGTCGGAGACAGCAAGGAAATGCCAAAAAAGGTCCGAAGAAGGGACCAGACGGCGGCGACTCCATGGCTGGCCGCCAGGCAACCTTACCAACACTCTTCGATGATAAGGCAGACGACAAGCTTCCAAACATGCCATTGATGCGCGCCGATACTCAATCAACTCTGCCACTTTACACCTCCCGACCCGGAACACCAAGTGGACAGCCTCCTCTACCCTCTTTTGAGCTCAATCAAATGGATCAGCGCAGGCCTTTCCCACAACGTAACAACACAAGTTATGCATCCAACGCTCCATTAATTGGTAACGCGCAAGCAATGGCCGATGGGCGTGCTTCTCCAGCACCATCAATGCATGGGGATATGAACGGATATCCCGCGCCTCCTCCAAGATCAATGACTTCCAACACGCATAGAAGCGACTGGAGTAGTTCAACTGGTCAATATGGAAGTCAAGTTGGTTTGCCACAACCACCGAGAATGCCAAGTGCCTTTGGTGATCGAGGTTACACCCAAAGTCCCGTATCGTATGTCGAGGGCAGAGGTACACCAGACACATTCGGCAATCCTGGTCCTCAAAGATCCCACACACCAATGGGCCCTCCCCCATCGATGGGTCGACGAACACCATTCGATCCACATGGCGGACAACCATCTCCTGCACTATCTGGGCACTTCAATCCCAACATTCGTAGCGCATCCGCCGCACCAACATCGAATCCAGGACCTCCACCCGGCCCTCAACGAAACATGACCGCTCCAATGGATTATTTCGGGAACGCCGGACCACAGAGACCGGGTACATCCAACAGCCAGTTAAACGCCGTGCCTCAGATCGCCCGACTTGCCAGCCCTGCACCATACAACAATTGGGGTAATGGCGGCAGCCCTGGATTTGGACCCATGGGATTAAATAGTCCAGGATACCGACGGAGCTAGGAATAGTACAGTACATAAGAGAGAACGCGCGACCAGCGAATTGTATAATTTATTAAGAGGGAAAACATGGGACTTTGTTACTATGGCGATGAACGATACGACATGATCTTGTTTGGCGTACATATGCCTGGACTCCTCCATACATAGCATATTGTTTTCCTTTTTTTTTCCTTTTGAGTTTAGTTTTCATCATTCTGCATTTTAGGAGAATACCCTTGAGCGTTTCAATGTTTTTTTGTTGTTTTGTTGTTATTTGTTCGCGCTGCTGCTGGTAATTTTGCCCCCTCTTTTTTTGTTCTGATTTCATTTGATCTTTTGAGTTTGGTTTGTTGTGTTTGATGGGGATGAGGGGAGGAGAAGTGAGGAAAGGAGGAAGGAGGTGTAAATATAGAGTGCGTGTTTTTATATAAAATGGGGGGTGGATAGATGGAGAACGTTAGGGGAAGTGAAAGAAGGGATTAAGGAATTTGGTGGTTGGGGGTGCATTGGTTGTTGAGATTGGTAGTTGGTGGTATGGTAGGTAGGGTTTTAGTGAGAAGAGAATAAAAGGAGATTTTTGATATGTATATGTTCTTGTGCCTCTTTTTTTTCTTCTTTGGGAAGAGAAGGTGAATTTTGGAGTTTTTGTGTGAGTGAGGGAGAGAGGGGGGAGGAGGGGAGGGGGTGTGATGGGAGTTTGCGTCCATGAGTCGAGCTGGAGATGTCTTGTACTTGTACTTATACTCCCACCTACACGTACACGTACAACATCCAAAGCTAAGTACAGTATGACAGAACCATCACACCTTGTCTTGGGGTTTGTTATATCTTTGTGGGTTATCTGCTGGTATCGATATCAAAGGGTACAATGGAGTGGAGTGGGGTGGGGTGTGTGTGGAGTGGGGTGGGGGTAGGTTATAGAGGCCTGAGTGAGTGGGTTTTGGGAACTTGGGAAGGGGTGTCAGTGCTTTTGTGTGGGTTTCTGTTTGTGATGGGAGTTGGGGAAGAGGGATTTGGGAAGGGAGGGGGAGGAGGGG